CTATAAATCTAGAAATTGGCTCAATGAAAGGGAAGGGAATGTTACTTTAAATGACTATTCTCATCGATTATCATAATCACTGTTTATAATCAGCTATATAAAAATATTTGCTTCGATGCCCATGTGTCTTTCACATGAGATCAATAAAGGCCTCAGCGGCGACTAATTACGTGACTTCTTTTTGTTCTCCTGACGCTCGTTACGCGGTAGCTAATTAGTTTCCTGAACGTCAGCGTCTGGAAGAAAAAGGAAAAAAGGGAAAACGCTCGGGACATCTTAACTCATGATAATTATGGTGTGTATGTCAGCGCGGGTCTGGTATCCAGAAAAGCGTTGAAAAGATGCGAACAAACGTTGACGCGGTTCGTCAACATGTGTTTACAAAATAAAAGCCTCGAAAGCACGTTCCAAAATCCTACGACCATTTAAAATATTTCAGCTGTCTTGTCACGATATATATATAACATCGACCATGATTACATGTAGTAACACGAATTTTGGCGATTCGTAAATTTTTTCGCGTTACGAACCCTCAAAATTTCTCTTTTTTCCTACATCCAAGAGATTCACACAATTTTCATATAGATAGGTTTTAAAATAGAGAAATGGAATAAACTTTGTGCGACTGTTATTTAATTGTGAAAACTTTTCTTTAATTTCGCTTTATTTTCGATTAATCTTTTGTTTTTTCTACACATTTTGCTAACAATTTATTAGATATATTTTTCTTACTTCTCATAAATGAATCTCTGTATTCCTCTTTAGATGACGCACATAATAATGTGCATGTGAAAATTTGATTTGTCTCACTTGTAGCCCAGAGGAAATTTTCCTTTGAAAGATTTTCATAATTACCATTTCATAGAGCGAGCTTCGATTGTCGAAAGTGATCTGCCAGCTGCAATGCGGCCCGCGCAATTCATCGTTGCCGAAGTTGAAGCGACTATTCAGTTTGAAGTTCCCTTTTGTAGGTACTTTGATTTCGTTCCGCGGAATTCAATTCGCTCGGACTTCCGCCGGCATTAGGAAGCCTTTCTAGCGTGAAACAATACCGCGATGGTACAAATAGAGGTAACTGTTGCCATTTAAAACGCTTTCTTTTTCCACGTGCTTTTTCACAGTAGAGAACCGAATGAAATTTGATTAATTAAATACCTTTTTTACTTGCGTTTTCGCTCCGACATTCTCCGTTTTGTTTCCATACTCGACTGTGTGTATTACTGTGTTATTTTAGTATCTTTATTTAAAATTAGCTCAAAAATTGTTTTATATACGTATATAACAAGTATTGTACAATACATCGATGAAAATTCATATGTATTAATGGTAAGACCAAGGTGAAGAATAAGAACGAACAATTGTGTATTAGCCGTGCACATAAATTTTTAATAAGGAAAGTCGGTTGTTTCTACTTTCTTTTGTCATGTCGAATAAGAGTTTCGAGCGTAGATCTTCGAGGGAGCGTTCACAAACAGAATTTCATTCTCGGCGATAGTTTCAGAAGTAATTCCTCGCGAACAAACAGGACTGGTAACGGGAAGCGACGGGAATCGGTCGACGATAACCCTGTTTTCTGGCCAGACAAATGTAAATCGTGACCATGATGCAACGAACCGCGAACCATTCGGCATTTTCCTAATGTTCCCTACATGGCGGACCGACGCAGCGTTGCACCTCCGCCAGCTTTGCAGCATACAGAATGCTAATTGTCCCTTTAACAAAGGCTCGACGCTTGCACGGTACTGCTCGCTTCTCCTGCTCGAGGTTACCGCCCTGAGAATAGCTCCGCGTTTCTTGGTCGAGATTCCATTCTTTCTTCACAATCGCCACGCAAGACGTCCCCTGGATTAACGATTAATGTTTAGCGTTGCCAAAAAGAATTAAAATACTCTTTATGACGCACTTTGCCACGCATTATTCTTATTGTAACAAAACTGTAGAATACAGACATAATTCTCCACATATAATTATTAAAACAATTTCCATCTGATTTACAATAATTTTATAGTAGTGATTTTCGGTGTTCGGTAATTAATTACGGAAGGCTGTCCCGAAAAATTTGGATATTCGATTACGAGGGAAGCGTCAAGGATTCATTATGTATTATACGGATAATAGAACGGGCTGTTTTCATGTTAACAATGCTGACTTGTAGCTCTTTCCATTACAACGTGGGAACGTAATATTCCATCAAAATTGTTAATAGAGTTATATTTCATGCTTGTTGTCTCGAAAACGGGTATTTTAACAGAATATCAAGTATCAAAAATAAATGAAAGAGTGTTGTAAGCACGTTGGTGAAAACACAATAGATTAATGAGAAATATCGATCTTTTTACGATAATATAGAACATGAGCCGATGAAAAGTAATGCATTGTATTACTCCGTTAAAAACCAAATTACGCGACGGCTAATTATAAACGCAACAATAAACGCCTTGGGTTCTAAAGTAATAAGCGGGCTATGTTAATAACTCGACATGATATAAATCGAGAAATGCACCACGTCATTTTCGCGCGACGGCGGCCGTGTTCACAGCTTCAATTATTTTTCTCTCGCATCCTTTCAGAGGAAGTCGACAAATTTAATGTCACGTACAGCAATGAAAAATGATCGCACGGTGATCTGGTCAATCCTTGAGCACGCGAGCTAGCACGTTCATCTACACGCCGGCTTAAAGCAACTGATTCCAATAAGCGACGGTTTATAACATTGATGACAGTTAATATTGCAATTGATACAAACAGTGACCCATATTTATACTCGGACACATTTCAAAACGGAATAACTTCTTTAACATTGGACCACACAATTTAATTTTCTGCGGGATGTTAGGAGGCTTAGTTTATTATACAATGTGTAACCAAAAATTTAAAAGGATTGCCATTCGTCGAAGAATCGAATAAACAAGTTTCAACTTTTTTATTAGGATCCCTAACAAAAATTTAAAACATCCCGTTTGTAGATCTAAGCAAATTATAATATAATCCGAATGTTAATGGTAGTCACTATAGGTGAATGAAGATGAAGGTTTTCAGAACCTTTCCTATACGATGCAAAGAATTTAGTAAATATTTCCATATGTCAAAATTGAAAACAACTTACAAGTGTCTACTTAACCGGGAAGTACGTGAACGATTTGAAGACCACATGAAAGAGACATAGTCACAATCTTAATTATAAATCTAGATTAAAACACCTCCTAACAGAATGAGGGCAGACGAAACAGCTGGCGTTGGAAAATCAGCTAATGTAAGAGACATACGTGCACACGTAGGTACGTGATGTGGGGACCGAGGGACAGTCAGACGGACGCATTATTTCGATAATCGATTCCACGGCGGCGTGTCGGATAATGGTTTACACGATCAGTGATCCATCTTATTCGAGTCGATCATGTAAACGATTCGGTGCAGAGGACAGAGCTGGTAAGCCGTTCGTTCAATTTCCATCGAATCCCGTGCATCAGGTCGGTCGGGAATAGAGTCAAGCTTGACAAACGTGTCAACGTGAACGGGGCAATCTACGTCGACGATTCCTCTCGGACGCGGCACAACCGTCGCCGTGACGCGGCGGAACACAGAAACTCCGAAGATCGGATCGACGATGACGACGATTGATCCGGATGCAGGAATTCAATCATCGGACACATTACTTTATTGGTTGGGTAATTAAATGTCTGCTCCGGTACGGATTCGGGTCACCCGTTGAGCAGTTAGCGCATAATCGATATGAGCGATAGGATCAGGGTTAAATCGCTTGAGATTAGCAAGATATTCGAAAATATCAATCTATGTGAAAAGGATCCTTATCCTTTGTTACGCTCTTTCTTTTCCTGTTAGATTATATCATGTCTAAGATTTAGATTTTTTTCTTATCGATTCCGATCATTCACGATAATATATGAGAGCACTGTCAAACTTATAACACAACTTTGAGGAATCATGCTCCGATGCAGTAACGTCGGCTTCCATGTCGATTTCGGGACCTGAGTTGACATTCAGGTTCCGAAATTATGGGTACTTAAACGAATTTATCTACTGAACTACCTTTGGGTATCCCGCCTGAACCCGAAAAAAATTCCTGTCTTGAATTTTCGGATACCCACACATCCCTAATACATTGTCGAATGTAGACAAAATGCATTGTAGAGTTTATTAATTTTTAAATCTATGATCGTAACATTTATAAACAAAATAAGACGTTGAAGTTGATTAATTATAAAAAGTATCATGAAGATTATGACGATCTTAAGTAATTGTTAGATGATACTCTATTATATTTAAAGATAATTCGGATTTCATGCTAAATTGGCCGGAAAAGTCAACGGGAGCTAAACGACCGGTAAAAATATATGACACTTTTTCTTGTTATTATTGACTACGAAACCCCCTTCGCTTCGTTAGAACCAAGCAAGAAGCATTAATAAAATTGAACGCAGCACCAAAGCAACTGCATTAGAAATTACTCTAACGGAAGAAGCTTGTTTATTTTCGCCTAAACTATACAAAATGTGATGTAAATCAAAAATAGTTTCGCAACTTGTACGCGACTCGGTTAGTTCCGAGATAATTAAATTGCGTTCGTCACCTCGCAGAGCTCCTCCAGCCCACTGTAAATTATATTTGCTGATAACAAAGTTCTAAAGTAAAAGTAAAGGGTTGACAGAATATGGTGTAGCCAAGTTAAAAAAGAATCATAC